CTAAAGTCCGTCGGTTGATGCAGCGTCGGCGAATGGGACTTGTTATTGAGACTTTGAACCGGCAGATGCTTGGACATCGCTTGTTCTAGATCTTTCACGGAGGTGCCGGTACTGTCGGCGTTGCTCGTTCTATCATCCACGCGTCTCGATTTCGGACTGGCCGAGCATAGTACTTGCTCACCTCCTGAAATTGAATGGTTTGATGGAGCTGGACTTAGAGCGTGGCTTCTCTCGTTATTCGTGACTTTCACCGTTGAGTCGTCCTCCTCGTCCTCTTCCTCGTTCGAGCTGCTGTCCTCCTCTGTGTGCAGCTTCCGCTTGTGCCCGCGCAATTTCACTACGAGCGTGCTAATGTTCCCGACCGCTGTCTGCGGCTCTTGCTGCAACTGAGCTATATTGTCGTGGTGCCTGCTGCCTCGTTTCTCGCTCTCTGAGCCGCGAGTATCTTCCCGATCTTCTGGTGGCGATCTGTGAGGGTGTTCCTGATGCTGGTTCGATGGTCCACCGTGATTCCTCCCCTCTGAAATGCGTTACGATGCTATCTTAGCGATTAGAAAGTTTTGGATTCTCGACGAAGGTGAACTAGCTATATATTTGGTTGTTCTTGGGAATAACAGTGGGAATAATTGAGTAGGAAGATCGTAAGATCTATACCTCCTCTGTCGGCATCTGGCGATCCATTTTCTGGATCGTTGCCAGCTGCGTCCTCACGCTTCACACCCATCACACCCTCTTCCAGTTGACAACAATCCATGATTAAGTTTTCGTACTCTCGACCGCTGAAAACAAAATTCGTCCGTGAAATTTTTACAATTGTACCTTTCACCCAGGGAAATCATATCACGCCGAAATCATGATGAGATTTACCTTATAACATAATTGACACAGATGATATTCTGCTCCTCGGCGTTTTTCGAATTGCACACTACCGTGGCGCACGTCTGCAGCCACGTGTATCCTCCGCTTTTGTTCATCAATCTATAATAATGTGTCAAGACTTGTCCCTTGTGAATCACTGTGAATAATTAATAATAAATTTGATGTATTATACATTTTATGTTATATCATATACAAGTGCACATTAATATAATTCAATGTATGTTAATCAGTTGATCAATGGGACTAAAATAACAACCAAAGAATCAACTTTAAAAGTAACAAAAGGAAAACTGGTAAAAATACTCACAGTCAATGTGAGATTTCCGAAGACGATTCGCATCTTCCCCATGGCACAATGTATAAAGGTTCTTCCCCGTTAATTCGTCGGCTGTGTAATCCAATAGTTCGGACACCCTATAAATCAACATGTAAGTAAAATAATGATGCAAATCCAATTTAAGAACCATTCACAAGAAAAGGTTGTGAAGATTTCAAACGTCTCATGGACAGATATAAATATAATAAATTTAAAGTATTTTCGTCAATGTAATTACAAAAGACATGTATCAAACATTATAAGAAATGAATCTGTAAATGCTGATTATTGGTAAACTAATGTTATAGACAGATATCAGATCAGATAGAAATCAGATTGCAATCCTCTTGAAACCATTTTTTTTTTTTTTCTCTACATAATTCATTTTATATTAAATGGCGGATATTGGACTTCGTATGATAGAAGTAATCACTGATTCTTCTCTATACTAATGACTTTTCGTTCAAATGGAAATTGAGTGGATTCAACCAGCAAAAGTTCCATTTGATCGCTTAGGTAAATCGGTAATTAGGTAATTAGTAATTATAATTATATAGGTAATAAGTAATTATAATATTAGTAATTATATACTATAATAATTAGTAATTAGTAATTAGGTAGAACTAAGTAAAATGTCAACTCGGATAAACAGAGTGATTCACAGATTAAAATCTATTATACGTTACACTTTGCATTTTCACGTTCTTGTTTCTCAGCAATGCTCACCTTGGCTCGCAATGTGCTATCCGAAAGTCGAAATTGATCCGTGTGACGAACATGTCAGTTTCGAGGCGAATTTCGTGCACACTTGGCGGAGGAAGTGCGATCGCCAGGCCGACCATGCCTATCAATGGTGGCGCGGACTTTCTTGTATGGCTAAACGTATACTGCGGTCTCAAACGGCACAGTAACAACACGACCTGAATTCATAATCGTTCTATTAACATCACTGGTATCTCGTTAATTGAACACGATTGATTCACGATTGATAATTTTTAATTCGGATATTTCGAATTTAATTCGAAAGTTTTTCGCATCTTTGGCCAGAACTATAAGGCTATCAAGAAAATGATCCACCTGACATCCTTGAAATGTGGAATGAGTTTAAATGTTGAAACAAAATAAAGAGGAGCTTCGAAAAAATAAGAGAACTTAAGCGTGCTCACCCTATAACCAGAAGACTTAAAATGGCACCCCCTTTTCGTTAAGGTGGATTTCATCCTCACGCAGAACGCACGATCGTATCCTTTGTAGAGATTATTTGCTGATAATGACATTACCGAGGACACTGTAATGAAATTATAAAGAACATACGAATATTTGTGTACATATATAGATGTAATATATACATAAGCGAAAAATAGATGTCTCACGTTTCAAATTGAATCCAAGTGAATTATTTCAATCTATTTTTACGAAGTTGTTACAGAATGTAAAACATTGAATGTAAATACCTTAACTAACAAATTAACATTCGCTTCATGTACAAAACGCTTCTTTTTTTCGTTTTAAATATTTTGAACAGTATGAGTGTTCGCTGATTCTTTTCTTTTTCTTCCTTAACACGTTT